CGGGGAGGCAGGGGGAGTTTGTCTCCGGTGGGAGGAGCAGGCTGGAAAACCCGAGCGCTCCCTCGCTCGCCCGCTCCAAACCGCTTGGGAGAGCAAAATCCCTGGAACTGCCTGGAGGAGGAACATCCGATCAGGTTGCTTTTCAGGATGTTTTGTGGAGGCTGCTGGCTTGGGGGAGAGGGTGAGCCGGTCCCGAGTGCTTAAATTAGCCTGAACGTAATTAAGGAGAAGACACCCCAGGGGGGAGGGTGGTTTATGCATAAGGAAAGAGCCCGAACTCCCAGAGAGCTGCGAGATGCAAGTGTATCGTCTGGCTGCACCGACAGGCATACACAGGCACGCTTTTTTCTTCCCTAGCGCCCCTTTTTTTTTTTTTTTTTTTTTTTTTTTTTTTTTTTTTTTTTTTTAAGAAGCACAGATGGGGAGAGACCGTCCGGGGGAAAAAAACCCAACAGCACTAAATTATTTAAAATGTGATGATTATATATTTACGCACGTAGGCATGTATGTCTGTGCGCACAGAGCCGCGGGTCACTTTTTCCAGCTGGCAGCGAGGAGAGTTAATGGAGAAGCATTAGAAATCCAAGGGGGGAGTTATCATACAACAGTTGTAAAACCAGCAGCGTTTACTTGGATTGTTACCATCAACCTGCGCACACGGGTAGTTTATCCCATTACATTATCCTGCTCTCTCGCCTTCCCCTTCCCTTCAGCTGTCTGGTACACGCCTTTCTGAAATACTGTCTCTGGATGGACTGTCAACTTTTTAAAGTAGTGACTTTTTCTTATTTTTTAACTCGGTGGGTGTTATATCTACGTAATGGAGCCCCGGTCATGATTAGTCCAGGTAGATGTCTACTGCAACAGTAAATAAAAATAATAATAATCTCACGTAACAAATGTGGACTACTGCTGCCCAATCTTACTTGAAAAGCAAGGGGAAGGCAGGATGGAAAGTTTATCTGGGTCACTGAATCCACCCCGAGGTAATTTCAGCAACCATTTATATGTATATATACACACACTAGGTTTATGCTGACATTAAGATTTGTTCCTTAGGCAAAGGAGGAAGAAGAGGGGCAGGGGATAAAGGAGGCCAGCGTTGTTTTTTTGATAAGTTGTTCATCTGATGTTTCCAGACGAGCAATATCCAGTAGTATCCAGCACCAGATCCTACATCCGTTCTGGAAACTAATATTCAGCACTTCTTTTAGCTCTTTATGTTTAAAATCCTTGCATGAATGGCATAAAAAGTCATAAAAGCTGCATGGGAAACACATTGAGCGATTTAGTGTGTTTGTATGCATGCATGTGCACCTCTTAATAACAGGGTAACTGAGGCATGACATCAAAATGACTCACAGCACTATTGAAATAGTGGTGGAACCAGCATTAAACTCCTACTTCAGTCCTAACACATGTTTAGAAATGGCTCAAGCTCTGGGCGGATAGTGATGGGAGAGAGGTTGTGAAGCCACATCCACCTTAGGTAATAAGAGAGCACTTGCTAAACTCAGTGGTGCTAATGGGGGTGCTCAAACACCACCCCTGTAGCTGCCTTCCCGTTGCTCCCCACTAACCAAACCATCGATACCTAAGCAGCTGCATTTTGGATGCCTGGTTAAGATTAAACTCTCTAGCATCTTTTGTACTTCCTGAGGAGCGGCACTAACCTGCTCTTAACCAGGCAGGCATTTGCCTAAATTTTTCTCTTGCCGAGGGTGTGGTTTCTAGATCAATTTAAGCTGCTCTAAAGCCAGACTCCTCCTGAGAAAGATGGTTTTTTTTTTCCCATCCCACCCCAGCCAGAACCTTCAGCTGTTCAACCCCCCCCCACCACCACCTCCAGTGCCTGTACTGACACTTACATCCACACACAGGTCAGGAAGCTGTTTTTAAAAGTAATCTTTTTTTAAAAAAAATAAATTAATGTATTTGTTTTTGCTGAATTAATTTTCTGCTGGATCAGCTCCTTGTTCTGACTGACTACATATTGTGCTGGCACAAAAAAAAGAATGCACAGCTGGGGGCGAGGAGAGGGGGGCTGGGCTGCCCTAGGTTGGCTTAAACTGATGGTGGAAGGGCGGACAGATGATTCAGGATCCCTCCGCTCTCCCTTTCAGCTGCAAATAACTCGATTTCACTTTCTTTTTTGTTCCTTGTAGGCAGTTAATTTTTCCCCAGTTTTGAGTGTTGGTCTTTCATCCAGCAGCAGGAGGACAAGGAGAGTCGCCTTCGTCATGCACAAGGAGATTAAAAAATCTGTAAGGATGGACCAGTGGGCTGCAGAGCAGGTGTCTCTGTGGCCTGAATTGCTTACACCTGAATTGCTTTTGCTCACATTTAAAAACTGACTAAATTTCAACTCAGTGTTGTGCTTTGGAATGATAGAAAGAAAGAAAATAAAAAGATATTTTGGGACATTCGGATCCCGCCTCGTTAACACCGACTCGTTAACACCTCAGGTAACGACTGTTGAAGCTGTATGTGTCATGAAAGAAACAGTAGAGAAAGAAAAGTAACCCTTGATTTGACAAATTTCCTGAAAAAGCGATATTTCCTTCATGTTTTGTCTGTTTAAGTGGTCTGAGTTTGGCCAAGTTTAGATACACCCTGATTTAATGCAGAATACGGTCTTTAAAGAGGGGGCAATGCTGCAACTCTATCCCGTGCTTTCATAGGAATAGTTGTGAGAGTATAATCTTTTATAGCAGCATTTTTTATTATCCTATTGCATGGCGTACAGCATTAAATAAATGCAAAATGGTTTGCAATGGGGGTACTGCTTGCATGTATTCTAAAAACAGCATGACAAAACTCTAGAAGTGCACAATGAGAAGGGGAATCTATTAAAGAATAATTTTTTTGAATGTGAGGTCCTCAGCTCTTGACTTCAGTTCTCTCTGGGACACAACAAAGAGCAGCATTTATTCTGCTGCATACACCAAAGGGTGATGCAGCCCAAACTGAAATAGTTCGGTCCTCAGATCCGAGCTTGGATTTCCAATAGGAAAGGTACAAACCAGATTGCCTTTCTCCTGGGCAACGTCCTTCTCTTCCCTCCTTTCTTGCCTGCTGCTTAAAGCCCGTCCTGCTTCCTGTAGGATCAGTTGCACACAGGTTGCTGAAATATTGGCACCTTCATGTCATTGTCTTTTTCCTCCTCCTTCCTGGATCAATTAAGAAACCAGTTTTTCTTCTTCCTCTTCTCTGCTTCTCTTGTCTGTCCTCCTCTTCTTGAGAAGGAAAAGTGAATGCTTACGATGAAGTAATCCCTGTTTGTTGGCACTTGCTGCTTCAGATAATTTCTATAAAAACAAACTCCCAATGTTTCTGAGGTTCTGCGCAAGCCGCATTACCAATTGAGTAACTTTTTGATCTCTTTGAGCTTTGCGTGTAGGCTCTTATCTGATTTTTGTACCAACTACTGCCATTGTTTTTGTTTGTGTGGAAGTCGGTATAGTTGGAAGCATGTATTTAGGAGATGAAGGGTCTGATTTTAAAACACGAAATGGACAAAAATGGGCAGGTTTGTGCTTGATGAATTTTTAGGTGCCGCTGTCATCATTGCGTACCCATATTAGGCATATGCCAGTGGCAGAATTTGGCCGTTTGCATTCAGTTTTACCAAATGGGCAGTAAAAAGTGTGGGTTCTGCTCACAAACTCATTTCATGACTCTTTAAATTCAGACACAAAGCATTTTTTCCTCTTTTGTGCTGAATCAGTTTCAAGCTCCTTGCTTTCCTACTTTGATGTCCTCTTTTTAACTTTAACCATGTTTCTTTTCCATTCTGTTTTGCATCTTCTCTCATTTGTCTTGAACAAAGTGCAAGTCCTAAATTATAGCAAACTTTTTTCTCCTTCCAAATATTCCCACTAAAATAGCCTGTGTTTGGGGAATTTTGAACCATTCCTCTGGGCCCTGTGCACACAAAACGCTTATATAACAAAAATAATAGCATTATTTGTATAAGAATGCGTGATTAGCTTGCATATTTAATTACGCTGTATTGGATCATTTTTATCAAAAGTTTCTATTCATCTCTTCAGCTTTATTACTGAGAACATATTCACCAACACAAAAGTAATCGCATTATGGGTAAGCCATTATATTAGCTCTAATCCGGGAATTTGAACAGATCTGCGTTGAACTGTGCTGGGTTGGACTATACTGGTTATGTTATAAAAATTAAGCATTGATTCTCATAACTACTGATCAGAGGAGACACAGAAAGGAAATCTGTGTTTTCGGCTATGAAAGGGTGTTATTACTTCTGGAGATGCTAGTGGTAACTAAAATAAAAAATTATCTTTGGATTTATGAAGTGGGACTGGAGTGCTGAATCTGATGTTCATCAACTGAGTAAGGTGGACAAAATTCAATCCTTCACAGTTCAGCACTTCAAAGGACTTCCCTTTATAAAACCAGGTCTCTCTGGGGATTCTTTT